CAGGTTACACATTAATTGTTCATTAGAGTTTCGACAGAGTTTCGACAGTCATTAAGAGGTTTCGCCCACAACCTTAGACACTAGTCTTTAATTTTGATAGGGATTCTAAGGACGATGATGGTAAAATTTATGCATTAGCAACATTTGTTTTACCAAATGAAAATATACCATCATCAATATTAATATCCAATTTATCAGTACCTTTGGATACTTTAGAAAGAGCAACTGGTTTAATATTTTATTAACATCTAAAAAAGTTTTACATTTATGTGAAGTGATTGAGTGTAGGGTTTGTATTCATGAATACGGTGCAGATCATCTATACTCAAAAGTTAAAAAACTTGAAATATCATGTGATCCACATGTCTGATTTAAAAAAAAATACCACCATTCAACTCAGCTTTAAAAAAGGAGTCTATTAATGTAAAAAAAATTTTGTCTCAAATTTTTTTTGTGGATTTTTCAAATTTAGGAATTAGGTTCAGAAATGCAATAATATATTTTTGTGTTACAATCTTTACCACACCAATATGTTACACTAAACCTCCTTTTTAATATAAGATAATCATATTCAATCATATGGGCGTGGACAATAGAAACGCACCCAACGTCAAAATTACGATTTTGAGAAAATCAAAGATCTGCATTTTTCTATTAAACCTTAATGAAAAATATCTCGAAATATCTCGAAATTTTATTAAGTAAAGTGGGTATGGTTACTAAGCTAAAATTAATTTTTATGATAAATTGCATATAAAAAATGTTATTAACTCAAAATCACAATCCTTGTAATTATCCTTGTTTATATTGCCAATGTCTTGCTTACTATTTTTTTAAAACTTTAACAGAAAATTTCTCAAAATTTTATTAAGTAAAGTGGGTATGGTTTCTAAGCTAGAATTGATCTTCGTGATGAGTTACATATAGAAATGTTATTAACTCAAAATCATATTTTTGACGTTGGGTGTGTTTAAGGTTGCGGGAGAAACTCCTCCAGAAATCAATCGACAGAGTTTCGACAGGTTACACATTAATTGTTTATTAGAGTTTCGGCAGAGTTTCGCATTTGGGGTTTTCGCCAATCATCAGAGTTTCGACAGGTTACACATTAATTGTTCATTAGAGTTTCGACAGAGTTTCGACAGTCATTAAGAGGTTTCGCCCACAACCTTAGGTGTGTTTCTATTGTCCATGCCCCATATGTACTTATTTGCTTGTAATTCAAGTTTATTTAAAGAAATAAAACTTCATTGAAAATTTTTTGGCAAAAGCATTTAAAATTTTTTTGAAGGATTTATTCAAAAATTTATTAAAAATGATGTTTGTTTGTTTTAATTATTATATATATCTATTGATGATGTTAGAGAAATAAATTTTGTATAAATTCACAAGGATCTAAGCTACAAATTGAAGTTTTTTATTTATTTTTTATTATGTGGTAATTAAATATTATAAATATGTTTATTAATTTATATTAATGTACAAAATAATTATAAAAAAATTTATTATTCAAAGTAATCAATTTCATCAGGTACATGACAATGTGATTTATATTTTTTCACCACAAATTCAGCAAATTTGCCAGTAATACCTTTACGATAAATGTCCATATATCTCCAAGATTTTCTTGCAAACTTTCTAATGGTAATTAATGGTACTGAATCCAAAGCTTCTAGAACTGTTTTTTGTAAACCAGCCCAGCTATAATCACATTTATCTCTAGTAAACCTCTTTGCAGCCCCCCAATACATTTCTATATAATTCAATTCACAATGAAATTTAGGATAAAATATACATTTGTGACCCTTTTTTTCAATTTCTTCTTGTAATTGTGATTTCTGGGACATAAAATCATCCTGTAAGGACAATATTCTACGCATACAGCAATCAATTCTTGTAATATCATCAATTTTCAATCTACATAATTGACAATGACCAACTAAATCTTCATTCCATAATAAATCCCTTTCACTCAGAATTTCTTTCATGCCCTTTGCTTGATTTGGATAATCTGGATGATCTGGAGGAAATATCATCAATTGAGGTTTTTTATTTGGACCATAGACAGTTGGACGCATTAAAGCTTGTTTACCTCCAGGATAAACATTCATATTATTAACATTTAAGGCATCCTTTGCCATTGATCCATGGTTTGTACTATTATCAAAAGCAAAAACAGCAACAGCATTTGGATGTACAACTTCAAAGATTGGAATAGCATAATTCAAAACTTGATCAAGCAGATCTCCAGTTGTCCACCATCCTTCTTCATTTTTTCCAGGTCTCAGGTATTTTCTTGCCTCAGTTGGAACATTAGGGTTCAAAAGTGATTGTTCACTAGTCAACTTTAATCTTCCAATTGTTTCCAAAAGAAATTCACTCACCATAATAGACTTTCCCATTCCTTTTTTTCTTAATGGTGGTTCACCAATAGGTGCCCAAATAATTGGACAATCATCATTTGAATAAAAAAGACATTCATCATGGGTGACAAATATATGTAATTTTTCATTAACTGAAAGCTCTGGATTGCATTGTTCCATATTATCACCATCAAAAATTGGCATAAACTTCTCATAATGCAACATTTCATCCAAAAATCTTCTCCTATATTCAACAACATCTTCCCTCTCATGTAAGGTTGTGGGCGAAACATCTTAATGACTGTCGAAACTCTGTTGAAACTCTAATGAACAATTAATGTGTAACCTGTTGAAACTCTGATGATTGGCGAAAACCCCAAATGCGAAACTCTGCCGAAACTCTAATAAACAATTAATGTGTAACCTGTCGAAACTCTGTCGATTGATTTCTGGAGGAGTTTCTCCCGCAACCTTACTCTCATGCCCATCAAAGTATATTCCTTTTTTTCTTTGTTGTGGTTTTAAACCAAGTTTTTTTAACCAAATTCTTGATGTAGTAATTGAAATTGTTTTACGAGTTTCAGTTAAACCTAGTTCTGGAAATAATCTTTGCTCTACAAATTTTTTATACTCTTTAGGAGTGATTTTTCCTTTGATTTCATGAATATAAGATAAACTTTTTTCTATAACATCCTCATCATCTATGAGCGATTAATTTTTTGATGACAACCTTGTAATGATTTTGGCAAGCACCCATCTTTGATCCAACATTTTGCCCAATATCTAACTTGTTGTGCTTTGTATGGGCCTTTATCATAAACTGCTTTTGCAGACTGCAAACTTGCCTCAATTTTGGTTAAATTTTCATTTACACAACCTTTAAAAAATAGCTGCAAGGATTTATATTTCAAATAATCATATGCAGTTATCTTCTTTAGATTACTTGATAGTATATTTTCAAGCTCAGTTAATTTAGGTTCAAGTGAATTATCATTTTCAACTTCAAAATCACTTTCTTGTTCACTAGATTCATTAGATTCACTTTCATGTCCTGAGTCATTCTCTCCTTCTGAACTATTCAATTCACTCATTGTATTTTCTTCATCTAATTCATTAATCCCTACATCAATGTTCATGTCATCTTCATTTTCCATTTCATTTCTTGTACCACTGCTTTCACCTTTAGATTCAATAGGAAAAAAATGAGTTATTGATTGTGAAAAGCTTGCAGCTTTGGTATATTTTCCTGAAGGTCCATATTTTTTATAATAGGTTGCTCTAGATTTTCCAGTATAGGGTTTTTTCCCTTTAACATCTGCTTCTTTAGTCCATATTAATTTTTTTGATTCACTTAATTGTTGGAATTTTTCAGCAACAAAATCATCATCTGAACTATCTTCAGAATATTCACAAGAGGGCAAGTATTCATCATCACTTTTAGTAGTAAATGTAAATTGGCCTGTATCTGAATTTTGATTTTGTTTATTATTTCTATTTTTTGCAGCAGCTGATTTAGAAGATTTTTGAGGCATTTTTAATTGCAATCAATTAATAAATAACAAATATTACAAATATATATGAAGAGAGATGAAAATTTTTTAGAATGTTATAATTGAAGATCAAACTAGTGGAGAAATGATTTAATTCAAAAATATCTTGTGTTTTTTAATAAATAATAAATATTACAAATATATGTGAAGAGGATGAAATTTTTTTTGGAATGTTATAATTGAATATTGAAATGATTTGATTCAAAAATACCTTGTATTTATAGTTTAAAACCAACCATTTGAATAATAATAATAAATTATTATCAAATATAGAATATTGCCATTCTTGAAAAACCATAATAATTGATCCTTTGTAAACTATTTATCATTATACAATTAAAATAATTAATCATTGATCCTTTGTAAAATAATTAATCATTGATCCTTTGTAAACTATTTACCATTATACAATTAAAATAATCAATCATTGATTCTTTGTAAACTATTATCATTATACAATTAAAATAATTAATCATTGATCCTTTGTAAATTATTTATCATTATACAATTAAAATAATTAATCATTGATCCTTTGTAAATTATTTATCATTATACAATTAAAATAATTAATCATTGATCCTTTGTAAAATAATTAATCATTGATCCTTTGTAAACTATTTATCATTATACAATTAAAATAATTAATCATTGATCCTTTGTAAACTATTATCATTATACAATTAAAATAATTAATTGGCCTAAAAAGTGTTTACAGCATTTTTTATTATGGTATCAGGATTTGATAATATGGTTTAATTAACAATTGAAATTTTTTTTGGTCTGACTTTTAAAGATTATACATAAGTTCATTTGAACACTATAATTGTTAATATTTCCTTTTAAAATTAATTATTTTAAATAAGAAATAAATAAATTATTAATAAATAAATATAGACAACATTTCACAAGGAACTTTTCATTTGTCACTAGTACACCCATGTGAATTTTAACCAGAAACATACACAAAGCTTGCAATGGCTTGTTGCACCAAAATATCAATCTAGGAATGGAAGATTTTTTTAGATTGTTCTATATACCAGAAACATGTGGTTCAGAATTTGCATGAGTTATTTTTGTTACGTATTTCTATTTATAAAATTACTAATTTGGAAAACAAATAATTATGTAATATTTTAATTTACACATTAGACCTGTCCCATTCCTTTTAATGGGCAAGAGGAGGAGGGTATGGCAAATATAAATATTGGTATTACATAACAAATCATTTAAGAAGAACCTACTTACGTAACATATTTGTTTGCATTAATATGGTGTGATATATTTGTTTATTAGTATGGTGTAACATATTAATATGTATCATCCATCGTAACATTCCCTCCCATATTTATTATTATTTCACACACTCTTCTCTCTTCTCTCTCACCGTAATAAATGTATTAATTACAACAACAACATACATACTATATAATAATAATAATATCATACTCAACATAGATAGTATATACTCAACATTAGATAATAATAATAATATTATAATAATAATAATAATATGGGGCATGCTGCAACAAAACCAGACAAAGTGAACATTGGTGTTACCAAAGATTTCAGGGATCAAAATTTAGTCATTTGTAATGTGATCATAATTAATATCCCATTTGTTATTTTAAGTGACATTTAGAATCATCCCTATATATATAAAAATAATAATATGAAGCTAATTTACATCAGATCTACTATGAACCCAAGAATTATAGAAGGAATAAGGTGAAAAAATTGCTCCTTACATTTTCAAAATAAATGATACTCAGATGCTGGAAGCTTATCTAAGAAAAGAAAAGATTACTTATGAAATTTACCATGAAGAAAGAAAAATAATAAATGTTGGAAAAAGGAAGCATCATGATGATGTATTATTACCTAATAAAAAGCAAAAATCTTTAAAAGGAAAATAACTATCATTTTCTTTGATAGTTGGAATGAATTTCAATTTATACAGAATATTCTTTAAACTACTTTCTCATTTTCAATCAAGA